TTTCATATATTATTTTATTTAGACTCAGAACAATCATACTTTGGAGAATGAGCAAAATGAGGCTTTGAGGGAAATGAGTTATTCAGCTTGTAAAAGTAGGAACCAGATTCAAACACCTGCTTGTCCCTCATGGAGTCATACCTCCCAACTATGTCCTGCCCCTTGTTCTTTAATTATCCCTCTTCAATCTTTCTGTCTTCATTGGCTTTTTTATTTGCTTCAGTCGGCAATAATGCATAGGTTTCCTCTATCCTAAACAAAGAACACATAGAAATTTTCTTTTAAGTTTTCCAGCCTTTAAGCTACATCATTATTTCTTTCCAACAACTTGTAACTACCCATTTTACTGCACATCTTATTGCACAAACCAACTTTGGCCCCTACCACATGAATGAAATGTTTCTAAGGTCACTAATGTTTTCCCAGTTGCCCAATTCAATCTTTTCTCCTTAGTTTTCACTCTGTTAAATTCTTGACCACTCTTTCCCCAGAATGTGCTTCAGATGCTCACCTGACTGAATGGAGCCAGTGGGAGACAGCTTAGTCTCAACGAGTAACTAAAATCTGAAGAACTTAATATTAATTCAGGTCAAATGATGAATCAGATTTACAGTTCTAGTAATGATTGCCTGCCAACAATAGGCCATTGTTATTGCCTACGCTACACCTATTTAAGGTGCTGTGTAATATCCAAAGAGGAGAACATAAACTGCTCTCTCTTGAGATGTAGACAATCTTGTTGAATAGGCTAGACTCAAGTTAATTAAACTATTATAGTTTTAAGAATTATTAAGTAGTTTAAAGATGAATAAATGCTGTATTGCATGGTACAAACTACAAGTATAGTAAGTATTAGGAAGAGAAAAAAAGCATTTATGGGCAAAAACACTCATAGAGTATTTTATTAAACCTTAAAGAAATGATAAGATTCAAATCAGAAAGGTGGGGGGAAAGGCTAGTTCAAACAGGGGGACTTGCACCAGCAAAGGCAAAGAGCTCAATTTCTCTTAATGATGGTTACCTCTTTTATCTGGTTTTTGTACGCTCATTTTCTATACCACATTTCCTTTAGTCTCCAATTTCCTTCTCTCCCTGCTTCCATTGTTCACCATACTTCACACTCCACCTCTTCCTGGGGAGACTGGAAATCCCATCCTTGGCAATGGCCATCCTGTCTTGATTCACTAGCTGCCTGGCTTTTTATTCACCTCTAGAAGACCTTAACACCATCTCCCAAATTGTGATGGGATTGGATCTAAGAATTGGCAATCTAATCAATCTCTTTCCCAACAGTTATAATATCTATATGCCCCAGAGGAGCCCTTTTTCAAAGAAGGGCCCACAATGACACGTCATTCTGAAAACATTTAAAAATCATAAAATGATATTCACATAGAAGCACACCATGTGACTAACATTGGCACAGCAAGACCATACTTACTTTTCTAAGAAACAAAGCTGAAAACTTAAGCTGAAAGCTTAAATTGTCTCAACTAAGAGTTCTTTAATACAGAATTGGCCTGAGAGAGTGATTTGCCCAACCATTGCTTTTCCTATGAAAGTACACATGAAAAGAATTTCCTTTTCCAGCTAATTGAGTTGCCTCTAAAACTAAAATCCAGATCTCAAACTTCTGGTGCTTTCTCCCTCCACTATACCATAATGCCACCCTTCTTATCAAAGACATATGATCTGCAAGGCATCACAATAGCGAAATTTGTTGCCCAGTAGAATATACTCCAAAGCCTTGTTTATTTAATCAGTACATCTTGATTGTGCAATGCTTTAAAGGCATCAGAAAATAAGTTAACCATTTAAAAAAATCAAAACAATTCATCCCATGAGACTATTGCTATGATACCAAACATATCACTGTGGCCAAAATCACAAAAAAGTCTGACAAGGTCATAAATGTTCAAGAATGATAACATCAGTCATAGCTGGAACGCTATCTGGAAACATGATCATCTAAAGTTTGGATAATGACAACCAGGGGAGAGAGAAACAGAATGGTCCATGTTGTCACCAACCCTTTGCTTCTTTCTCAATAAAACTCTGAATAAGAACTAAGATAATAAGAACTAAGATATTCCTAAGATAATATTTTACCCCTGCTAATCCCCAACTCAATAAGCAATGGTTTTTTTGGAGAATGCTACTTGATTCTGCCTTCTATGCAGACTTTCACGGGAGCTTTGTGGAGCAGGAGGCTTTAGGATGTCAATGCTTCCTAGTTGGAGAGGTTTTGAGTCTTGTGATTATCATGGAGATAAACCTTATTTCCTGTGCCAAAGGAACAATTGCAGCACATGACGGGTGGCACCTGTGCTGCTCAGGTAGCTGTGAATTTAAGTGCCAGAATACTATTCTATTGAGTGCTCATTTTTAAAGAAGAAAATGCATTTCTGAATCTGGGCAAGAGACCAATTTTCAACAGAAGTTCAATTTCGCCCTCATGTAAGTCTTTGAATTAGTATTGTTAGAAGACAACCCCAAGGTCCTAAATTTGAAGCTTAATATATAGTTTCAAATAGTGACATCATTTTCTAATGCCAGTTTTAAAGATATGTAAATTACATTATTCCCTTTATACAGAAACTAAGATCTGTGTTGGTTTGTATTATATTTTAATTTTCTTTTTGCCGCAAAGCAGTATTATATAGGTGAGAATTTTGAGTTGTAGTAGGAAGTAATATTTATAGGTAAACACTAAAAATTTAAAAAACACAACTAGTTCATTATAATTATATTGTTAGAGCCCATTTGGAGTGCTGCATTACAGTACATTGTTGCTTGACAAAGCACTGGCTTCGATCAAGTGGCCGAGCCATCCTCAGAGTGGGGTACTAGGCACAGAAGGCTTGATGTTTTGGTTTTATACAGTCCCCCGTGGCACCGACCTCAGGATTGCCACTTCGACCTCTCTAATTCTCAGCGTCTGCCTTTGTAAAGTGAAAACATAGGACTGGATTTTTTTTTTTAACCATTTAAAAAAATATAGTAAAATAAGCATAACAAAAAATCTATTATCTTAACTGTATTAAAGTTTACAGTTTAGTGGAATTAAATACAACTACGTTGTTGTGCAACCATCACCAACAGCCACCCACAGAACTCTTCATCTTGCAAAACGGAAACTTCATACTCATTAACCAATAGCTCCTTATCCCATCTCCTCCCAGACCCCGGCAACCATTATTCTACTTTCTGTCTCTATAAATTTGATGATTCTAGGCACCTCATATAAGTGGAATCATACAGTATTTTTCCTTTGTGACTAGCTTATTTTGTTTAGCATAATGTCCTCAAGGTTTATCCATGTTGTAGCTTATGTCAGAATTTCTCTCTTTTTTAAGCTGAATAATATTCCATTAAATGTCTATATCACATTTTCTTTATTCATCCATTGATAGGCACTTGGGTTGTTTCCACATTTTGGCTATTGTGAATAATGCTGCTATGAACATGAGTGTACAAGTATCTCTTTGAGTCCCTGCTTTCAACTCTTTGGGGTATATACTCAGAAGTAAAATTTCTAGGTCATGTCATAATTCTATTTTTATTTTTAGAGGAACCATTATGCTGTTTTCCATGGCACCTGCGCCATTTTACATTTCTAGGACTGGATATTTTTAAATGTCCTTTCCATGTATAGAATTCTAGGACCCAAAGCTTGTTTTTAAATAACCTCTTTAAGCCATTTCCTCTTTACTTGGAAAGCCTGCCCACCACAGAAAAATGCTCAGATGTCTTTCACTCCAGAAAGCCTTCATTCAGGTTGTGCTCGCTTATAACACCCTTATTTACCAGTGTCAAGCTCCAATCACGTTTTTAATTTATTTCTTATTTTTCTATAGAACACAAGTTCCTGGAAAGCAGAGATTACATATTATTCTTTGTTATCTCTTCAGTCCCTGACACAAAATAATCAAACAACGAATAAGTGTCTGATGACATTATATGGGTTGGAACAAAATAGGGTCAGATATTTCCAAGTGACGATTGAAGATGCGATAAAAATAGTCTAATTGGAGAAAAATTTTTCTCCCAATGCAAAATATTTCCCTGGAGAGACTGAGACTTAAATAATAACAATATAAGCATAATAATAAAAATGCCTCATGTAGTGCTATCTCAATCATCAGCTAGGGCAGAATCTTTCCAATGGGCTCTGGGACACCTGGCTTGGCATTCTTGCTCCTGCTGGCTGGCATTCTCAGAGGATGGACTCCACAAGGTTGGACTTTGATCCATCCAAGGTTGGACTCTGATGGACTCTCAATGCCCGTCAACCTGGAAGTGCAGAAGGTACATTCAATGTGCATCCATGGTAGAGTGTAGAAGGGGCATTGTCCAAGCACCCCCATTCCCTAACACAGAGAACTCCTCTGTGATGTAGTGTTCAGTGGTTCGGCCCCTGTTATCTTGGACGATGCAGCTGAGTTTCAGAGAAGGGTTCCTAAAGAAGGCTGTTCCTAAGTTATGTGGCAAAAAGGCCACATCCCAGATCTGGAGATCTAGACAAAAGCTCTTGGCACACAGATAGAAACTGTTTTTAAGCCAGCTTGCTAGGCACTGGAGGAGGGCAGGACTGTAATTGAACACAGTGAAAAGACAACGCTTCAGTAAGTTGCTTTCATCTCATGCTAAATAAATAAGAGGCACCGAACTGTGGGAGAGCAGGTGATATTTCTGGACTCAGACACCAGGTACCATAACTCTCCCGGGGCAAGAACGCTCCTGCCAGGCTGCTCTGGCACCTTCGCAAACACTTTCTCTGGGTCAGTTTCGCGCGCAACAAGAGGATGTGCAGAGATCCCAGGAGTGGAAGCCGCGGTCCCGGTGTCACCTCCGAAGCGGGCGAGGGAGGATGCTGCCCGCCAGTCTGCCCCCGGGGCGGGGACCAGGGAACACGCACCTGCTCAGACAGGTGGGAGGGACAGGGGCGGTGCGCGGCCTATACCCCAGCAGGTCTGCAGTCCTGCTGCAGCCGGGCTGCGACCGCCACGCGGGGCGCAAGTCGCCGCGCCAGCGCTGCCAGGTGAGCGTTCGCCTTCGGGGAGCGGGGCCCCGTGGGCTGGGGGGAAGCTGGGTGCTGACGACCCTGCGCTGACCCAGGAGCGGGGACGCGGGGTGGCCGGGGTGCACGAGGACCAGCTTCGCCGGCAGCAGGACGGGGTGAGAGAGGCCGTGGAGGAAGGCAGAGCAGCGCCCTCTCCTTCTTTTTTTGGAAGTAGCAGGTGCACTCTTGATCCTGGCGGTAAATGGGGGCGCATTTTGTGGGGAACAAAAAGCCTAGAGGAGGCAGAGATTTGTCTTAGGCCAGGAGATGTTCTGGACTACCGATCCCATCTCATACTTTTCTTCATGACCAAGCATGGGGTATTTCTGGGGACTGGGGGTGGGAGAATACTCTTGGGGACAAGCGGAGAGTTCGTGTCTGGCCCTGACTGATCACTACCCTGCCGGATGCGCTCAAAGCTCACACTGAATCTGCATCTGTCTGGACTTTATGGTGTTAGCAACGTCCAAGGACATTGTACCCCCTCCCTCAGCCCCCCAAAACCAACCAAACAAAACTTTCCCCCTGGCATGTCTTTCTTTCCTGTCTTGCGCTGTTTGTTTCGTTGCTCTGGATTTAGTAAACTAGCTTAGGATTGTCTCTAAACCTAAAAATTGAATATAAAATTTTTGTGTGTCCACATATGTATTTTTCTGCGAGCTTCCACAGATTTCATTTGACTTTCCCAAAGATCGAAAAGCTGAAATCGTAGCTGTGGGCGCCATCAACATGGCAAGTCCTAACAATCTGCAGGGTAACTGACTTGCAGATTCTCATTTGAAGGTGGGGATTGAGGGCAGAGCTGAGGAGCCCCCTAGAAGGGTTCAGGGGTCCTCAAACTTTTTAAACAGGGGGCCAGTTCACTGTCCCTCAGACCATTGGAAGACCGGACTATAGTTTTTAAAAAACTATGAACAAATTCCTATGCACACTGCACATATCTTATTTTGAAGTAAGAAAACAAATGGGCAAAAACACCTGTATGTGGTCCACTGGCTGTAGTTTGAGGACGCCTGGTTAGAGGAAGGATTCCTTCAGGCTTTGGGCAGACAACACTCATTAATCACAAATTTGTCTGGGTTAAGGATTGGTCTGTTTTCCAACAGTATGAAGTCAAATTAGTTTTCAGACATGTAGACTAGGAAACCAAGAAGGGTTTTGGTGAATGAAAGATCTATTCAAGTTTCTTCTTAGCAACCCAAAGCAACCCCAGCTGTGGATCTTCCAAGGACTTTTGAGAAAAGGTGAGCGATGGAGTGTTCCAAGTTTATACCTCCCTAAACCACTGGAGCTTGGGAAAAAGAGGAGAAAATCGACAGTGAACTCAGCATTGGAGCAGCACCAGAAAAGCTCAGAGAGGAAGGGAAGGGGACAGAGAGAGACAGGGGCTGGGAGAGGTGGGGAGATTGCTGGATAAGGAGCTTAACTCATCCAACAAAAACTTACTTGCAAAGCTAACAGATGTCCTCGAAAACTCACATTTCATCATTGATCCCACCTTACTTGTTCACATCAAATGGGCAGGAATACTCTGTGGATGTAAAGCAGTATCTGTGGCCACTTAAATAGATACCCTTTCTGATGATGCCTTCTTTGCCTACAGAATCTTGGAATCTCAATCTTGTGATGCTCACGGGTGTGCTGGCATTAGGTTAGAGATCTGTCCTCAAACTGTGTGTTCCCAGAAAATGACACCCTGCAGCTAGCCTCAGACAATCACAATCACTTCACGATTTCAGAGAAAAAGATAGAAGTTGAAATTATAGCTTTTCCTTCACCAGCTTACCCCAACCTTTGATGCTTGCTTTTGTTCATGTGGCACCTAGTTTTGTTCAAGCTTAACTATTTGGTTATGTTGAATCATATTACATCATTATTTCCAGCTTATAAAGAGCCCATTCGTTCCAGGTGGTTCGTAACCTCCTCATGTTTGAAAACTAGTGTGGCAGTAAAAGACAGGGAAGACACCCAGGGCTCTACCACATTATGCTTTCATGTCATTTGAGTTTAAATGATTTGTGTGTGGACCATCTGGTGTTCTGGGTTGTGGCACAGAATCACACAGGACTCTGGGGCTAGGGAGGAAAGAAACTGCTTCATCCTACCTTGCTCATAGCCCAGACCGGTTTTTGTGTGCTGTTTTCAACATCAAACATGTTTTGTAAACTCAAACCATACTTTTGGTGAGGTTTATGGAAGAGAACTTACATTTCTTAGTCAACCCCTCCTTCCTTGCAAATGGTTAGTCAGCCTTCATTAAATCCCAAGTTGAACTGTTGCTTTTCAAAAACAATAAAGTGGTTGTTTCTACATACAACCTGTCTTTTGGTGACATAATGATTGTTTAAAATGGCCCCCATAACATGACCAAGGGTTTATTTGGCAATGGCAGGAATTGTAATTTTGCTCCTTATTTTAAAAGTCATTAAAGAACTGAGCTTTTAAAAAAATATATATATATATATATACATATATATATAGTTGCCACTTCACTAGCCCTTGCACATCTGATGAGTTTTGCTGTTGTTACTGATTGTTCTTGAATGTCTTCAGCAGGTATGTATTGAGTGCTTTCTGTGTGTCAGCCCCTGGGATCCAAGGTGACTTGTGTTTCTACTTTTCAGGACTCAACAGACAAGCAGTATGGACTTGAATTCCCTCCCCTTTTCTCTCTTTCACACCTCTGTTGAGCCAAGTCCCATTGAGTATGAAATATTCTTGAGAATTCTTTGGGTGTTAGCAAAACAATTCTTACATCTCTGTCCCAGAAGTAACATGAGCAAGTTGATGTCCTCTTGATGTGTACTAAGAGCTGACTTCGGGAAGTGCTGCCTCTGGGAATACTTGGCCGTGGCCACTTTCTTTCGGGTTTAAGTCACTGCCTGCTCTTCATGCTTGAGCCCTTTGAAGGTGTTTGGCTCAGGGAGAAGCTGCCCACTGTGGCCTCCTGGCTTCAGTGCACTCATGCTGGCCGGCAATACCCGGACTCCTATCACCTCCAGTGCCCTGCAGCTGATAGTGCTACGGATAGCTCTTCTAAGCAGAGTAAGTTCGCCTGACAAGGAGAGAAGCATTCACTTTTGATAGGTAAGATGAGAGCTTTTCTCCTTGTCATTATTCTCTAAACAATACAACAACTATTTACACAGCATTTACATTGCATTAGGTATTATAAATAATGCAGTGATGATTCAAAGTATATGTAAAGATGTATATAGGCTATGTGCAAATACTACACCATTTTATATAGGGAACTTTAACGTCCATAGGTTTTGGTATCCTTGGGGGTTCTAGAACGAATCCCCTGAGGACACCAAGAAGGACTGTACATGTTTGATTTATTGAGCCTTCTGGAATAACATCTAACTCATCTTGGTTATGATAGGGCATTTATGATAGCCCTCTTGTCTACTCGTTGTGAAGGGTAACCCAGTCCTACAACAAGACTGCCCCTATTTGTATTCTAGTTCACCACTAACTAGGAATGTGACCTTGAGTACATCACTACTTTTTCTGTGCCTCAGTTTCCTCCTCTGTACAATGGGGGCAATCACAACACTATCTCACCCTTTGTTGTGAGGATTAAATGAATTTATATATGTAAGACACTTAGAGCAGTACTTTGTACACAGGAGCCACTATTGTTCTTATTATTAGCTATTTTTTCTTTCCAGCTTCATCTCCCAATGCCCCCTAAAACAGCAACCATGCTGAGCTACCTAGGACTCCCCTAGACCTCTCTGTCATATCTCAGTGACTTTGCACATGCTAGTCTCCTTGTCTGGAATGCCTTTCCCTCTTCCTCGATTACAACAATCCCCGTTCTGGTTTAGTTGAGGTTAAATGTTTTCTCCTCAGTGACCTGTCTTTAGTGCTGTCTCTTATTCTCCAGGTAGCTGTTCCCTCTTTTCTTTGTGATTTCAGTAATTTCATACCACTCATCTAGCAAACAACTTACTAATTAACAACTACCTAACATTACCGAGCACTTATTACGTGCCCAATAGTGCACCAAGTGTTTTTCTTGCTAATTTTTGATACAGTGACAGCTCCATGAGGTAGGGTTAAATTTTGTCAAAATAAATTTCCACATTCATTTCCCCCAGTAGACTGTCATAGTGGCTTGCACATTTGTGTGTGTTATTCATTTTGTATCCCTAGGACCTGGCAAAGTACCTAATTAATACACAGTGGACACTCCATAAATGTGTAAGTGGACGCATTTAACCAACAGCTATTTATAGCCAAATAATAAGTTGATTATAAGTAACTTTTAAATAGTCTTTGTGCTTTTCTCATTGCAGAAATTCACTGTCAAATTTTTTTTAAAAATACTGATCAGCAAGAAGAAGAAAGTTAAAATCGAACTTCTTCTAGCCCGAGATAGCTTAAGTAACTTATTTAGGGACATGAAAGTACTAAATGGCTAAACTGAGCATCAATATCCGGCCAATATCCGGCCATCTGGCTTCAGAGCCCAGGCTCTTAACTGCTGTTATACTTGTTGATCTCTGTCCCCACAAACACACACACACACACACACACACACACACACACACACACATACACAAACACACATCCTACATGAATTATGTTAGCTACTAAAATGAACTGAAAGAGCGGAAATTTAAAATTAAATCTACTGCAAATACAATGTTGCAATGCATGAAATCTACATTTTAAAAATTCACTGCATTTGATTTGTTTCCTGTCTTCACAATCCCTCTTCCCTCAGTTATTTAGGGTAATCTTGAAGCAAATCAAGAAAATACAGATTGAGAGGCAGCACCGAGAGGTAAACAGACAAAGAATGGCTTTTAGACAAGACAAATGTGAGTTTGGATCCCAGCTAAGCCACTAGATATGTTACCAAGGACAGGTTGCAAAACATCTCTCAGTCTTAGTCTCTTTTGTAAAACAGAGATAATGAGAAATACTTTTCGGCATTTCATGAAATTTATAAGTGACATGATCATGACGTGCACTCAGATTGATTAATGGTGGGTCTCATTGTTAAGTCTCTAATGGTGATACCTTATGGCTGCGTGCCCAAACAACAACCTTGCTGAATTGTTTTCTACAGCTACACATGCCTTTTTAAAAAAAACAATCCTTCATTTTAATTCTCATGGTAATTTAACTTTTCTATTTTTATTAGATGCATTTAGTAACTTACCCTACAATCATTTTCTTGGAAATTCAACCTTTTCTCCACAGGCTGTCTTTTGAGATTAAAGAGAAAGAAGTGGCCAATTTAATATTCAAGCAATTTTCATTTAAAAGTAGATCATTGTTGTCATTACCCTATCATTAATGTTTTCTGTTTTCCTTTATCAGCGAGTTCCTTCTCGTTCGTTCGATTCCTATTGCCAAACTGAACTCTCTTGCTTTCTTGCAAGATGAAAGGAGTCAACCATGTATGAGTCACTAGACAATGTAGCAAATGCTTCTGATTTCCCGGACTATATGGTTACTTTCGAAAATTGCACCGATGAAAAAATCCCACTCAAGATGCACTACCTCCCTGTTATCTACGGCATCATCTTCCTCGTAGGTTTTCCAGGTAATGCGGTAGCAATTTCCACTTACATTTTCAAAATGCGACCCTGGAAAAGCAGCACCATCATTATGCTGAACCTTGCCTGCACAGATCTGCTGTATCTCACCAGCCTCCCCTTCCTGATTCACTACTATGCCAGCGGTGAAAATTGGATCTTTGGGGATTTCATGTGCAAATTTATCCGCTTCGGCTTCCATTTCAACTTGTACAGCAGCATCCTCTTCCTTACCTGTTTCAGCATCTTCCGCTACTGCGTGATCATTCACCCGATGAGCTGCTTTTCCATTCACAAAACTCGGTGGGCGGTGGTGGCCTGTGCTGTGGTGTGGATCATTTCACTGGTGGCTGTCATCCCCATGACCTTCCTGATCACCTCGACCACCAGGACCAACAGATCTGCCTGCCTTGACCTCACCAGTTCAGACGACCTCACTACTATTAAATGGTACAATCTGATTCTGACTGCCACCACTTTCTGCCTCCCCTTGGTGATAGTGACACTCTGCTATACCACGATCATCTACACCCTCACCCAAGGGCCTCAGACTCGCAGCTGCCTTAAGCAGAAAGCTCGAAGGCTAACCATTCTGCTACTGCTTGTGTTTTACATATGCTTTTTACCCTTCCACATCTTGAGGGTCATTCGGATCGAATCTCGCCTGCTTTCAATCAGCTGCTCCATCGAGAATCAGATCCATGAAGCTTACATCGTTTCCAGACCGTTAGCTGCCCTGAACACCTTTGGTAACCTGCTACTGTATGTGGTGGTCAGCGACAACTTCCAGCAGGCCGTCTGCTCAGTAGGGAGATGCAAAGCAACTGGGGACCTCGATCAAGCAAAAAAAGTCAGCTACTCAAACAACCCTTGAGACACTGCATTTACTCCACCAAAAATAAGAGACTGCTGATACTTTACCTATCACTCCTAATAAGTCCAGAATATCTCCCTCCATGGAACTCCTAGTATATACTGTATATTCAGGTAATTATGTGCCAAAGCCAGAACAGTTCTGTGCAATCCCTTTATTGAGATCCTCTCTGGGGTGTAAGAATGGGATGCATGCCTATCAATAAAGTATTCATACAGAGAATTACAAACTATTGGAACTCAGGGCATCTTAGAGATCACCTATTCCCACCTGCTTAATACATATACATGGAAACAAGTTCATACACTTGCCCTTGATCTCTCAGTAAATTAGTGGCATGATAGGGGGAAACCAATGTTTTTGCTATAGTTTCTTGCTTTTCCATACTCTGGGGCCTATTTGTATGGAACCAATAGACTATTAAAAGGTATTACTTGTAATACCTTTCATAAAATTGATTTTTGACATCTCACATCTTTCCAACTTTTTTCCTTCAAGCTTTGCTTTGAGATTATTAACCTGGGTTTTTCACAAGGCTTTGGTCAATTCTGTAGATTAAAGCAAGCCAGTGAAATAATTCAAAGATGTCAATACTTATAGCTGAAATTATTAATAGAACCTGTAAAATATTTGGGATACTATGTCTTTATTGTTATAGACCATTTTAAAAGTTGTTATTGACTTTATAAAGATTATTAAGTTATATTAGTAATTATCAACATGTCTTGAGGAAGGAGGGGACACTTTGGGGAATGGAAGTACTTTTAAATATGTACATATTGGGTGTTAAATCAAATTTTACATTGTTTTGATTTCTATGGTGAACATTCTAGGAAATGCTAATTCTCTTTAGATATCCTGCTCTTTTATGACTAAAATAAACAGACATCTATTTTAACAGCTAAAGCTATTTTTGAGCTGTATTTGTACTTAATTACCAGTAAGTATAAATATTTGAGAAAATGCCTGGTCTGGATATTTAAAACCCTAGCAAATGGGTCGATATAGTTAATAAACTTGTTTAAAAATCACAGAATAAGCTGGTCATTTTTTTTCTGTGAAAACGAAGCTTTATTGCTATTATATTTACACGAGACTTATTTTTTCCATGGTAGGAGAATAAAAATAAGTTTAAGAACTAGTTATAGAATAAGGCTAGAATAGATGACTTAAGTAGAGGAAAAGGTACTCTAGGAATTCTTTATGATTTCCCAGTTTTTCTAGGACATTACATCTGGCTTAGACCAAAGCAAGTACCTTCATCAAGAACCTCTACAGAGCATGCAATGGGAAGAAAGAAGAAAGTCAGTGGCTCTGAACATGGACTTTTCTGGATAATGGCACTCTCTTCATCCACCACCTCTGAGCCATGTTCTTCTGGGCTTTTCTATAATATATGGAACGAGTTATTGCGTGAGAGGACCCCAACTTGCCCACCCTTACTATCTATACAGCACGGAGCAGTATTCAAAAGTCTGCCTGGACCCTGGGTAGCACTCTAGGTCACCTTTTTCCTCTCCCTAATGCTCAGCCAAGCCCCGGGGCTGTCTGTAACGTAAAGCCAGGTTAGCTTTTATACCATTGCTGTTGTTATTCTAGCCCGGGCACAAACCCTTCTCTTTTTTCTCCTATTCCTTTTTTATTTCAAAGATTTCTCCCACCAGAGAAAAGCCACCTCAGCCTCCTTCATGTCTATCTCGACTTGTCTCTGTAGTTTCTTTTATCCTTTCTCTTGTTCCCACCAACGCATAGAAAAATAAATCATCTCTCTGATACGAATCCTTCCACTGTAGCTCTGATCCCAGTGCTGCTCCCTGAGGGACCTCGCTCCAACACTTAATCTCACTTTCTCAAATTTTTAAAATTTTTATTACCCTGGATAATTGACCTTCGCCGGGGAGCATGCATAATTTTCCATTACCCTCAAAATGCCTTCCCTTGATTCAGCTTTTCTGTCATCCTGTTACCTGACCTGCCTCCCGCAGTTACGGGTTAGGTGCAGATGACCGTCTGCCCTCCAGGGTTCTGCCGAGGGAACATAATCACAGAGATCCACGCTAAATTGAATTCAAAGGGTCAATTTTGCTTTCCAAAGTAAAGAGTTCTCAGCTAATTGTGCTGGAGGTTGCAGTTTTGAATTGAGACTAAAAAAAAGGGATTGATGATATTTTCCAGACTAGCATGGGACCCGTGTGACCTTGTCTCCCACACTCAATCACCGGCAGAGAAAGTATGAGAACAAAAGAGCAGTGCTCTCACTGTGTCTGCCAGAGACTGAGCTAGCTGCCCAGGTCTGCTCTCGGGGAAAGTTCTGGAAACTCAATCAGGGTCACTGCGTCTGAGTCAGAGAAAGCCAGAAAAGCCTGCTCTGAACTTTTGAGACACAGTACCCCTCTATTTTGTTTTTAACTTTATATCATGGAAATGTTCAAATACTCACAAAATTAGAGAAAGTCCCAAAATAACCTCATATACCCATGTCTTAATTTTACTAATAGTCAACGTCCCATCATTCTTTCATCTCTCTTCGTACATTTTTTTCTAGACTATTTAAAATCCTAGGAAACAGATAGTTTGACCTAGAAATGCTTCAACACTGATTTCTTTCAAAACATGCAAAACCAAAACACAATAAAAATAATTCCTTAATATTATCTAATACTCAGCGTATTTCATTTCTTCTCTTTGCCTTAAAAGTGTGTTTTTACAGTTTTTTCCCCCCAATTCAGGATCCAAATTGCCATTTATTTACTGAAGAAATCAAATTATTTGTCCTGTAGAATTTTCCACATTGAGGGTTTGGCTGTTTTAATTTCATTTTGTCATTTAGCATGTTCCTCTAACCCCCATATTTGGGGTAATTTGGATGGTAGAACTAGAGGTTAGAGTACATGCAGATGCTTTTTTTTCTTTTTCTCCCTTCCTTCCCTCCTTCCTTCCTTCTTACCTCCCTCCCTCCCTCATTCTTCCTTTCTTTTCTTTTTAAGGAATATTAATCCACCTGAGAAGGTGCCCACTGTCTGACTGCCCTGTGCTTAACAGTTGAGCAGGGGTCTCAGGATGTGTTACCATGATCTCTTTATCATAAGTTTCCCAACTTTCATTGCCTTCTTAGTTTTATGTCTAGTTTTATCAGTTGCTTATTGCTGTCTTGATCCAATAAGTAATTTTTAAAACTCTAAAACATATTCAACTCTTTAAATATGCTTTTATTAGTTATGGCTTTTCTAGAAAAAAGTTCTTTGACCTATCAAATATTTTTAACCCTTCCATTCTTAATGTAGTTTCCACCTATCAGATTTAGCTACTACTCTTCCTCCTTTGGGAGGCAGAAGCAAGGGATGAGAAGGGATGTGGAAGCTGCCTCCAAGGACTTCCTCAATGACAGTATTATAAGTATTAACAGAAATTTTGACAGAATTTCTTCTCAGTATGGGCCAAAACTTCTGTTCTTTTAACTTTTGGGAGTTAACAGCCAAGCTTATGATCCTCAGGTTGGGGCTTCCCAGGCTTCTCCTCCAAACCCACCTTAGTGCCTTTGCATACCCTCTTGAACCAGTAAAGGCAATTTTAGCTTTCTTCCAGAAGGGTCCCAAAAGGGACAAGGTAAGACATTAATTACCTACAAGGGCATGTAGCACTTGAAGCCAAACATTCACTCCTGCTCTAATTTTATTCTTAAATTCTATCTAACATCATCATTCAATAATATCTATATGGTATTATACAATAAGCCAAATAGTTATCAAATGATACAAAGCAAGCAACATAAAAATGCCTGAAGAGTTAGAGCTCCTTCCATTATTGATTTACCAGAAGTAAATTATAATATCCACCTATCTGTTTTTTAAATTCTAATTTCTTTTCTATGCTTCTATCTGAATATTTTCTATTGATCTGTCTTTCATTTCATTATACTGCCTTGTACTGTATGTAATTTGCTATTAAACCCATCCTTAACTTCTTAATTTCAGATATTATATGTTTTCATTTATAGAATATATGTGTGGTTTTTTTTTAATATTTTCCTATTTACTTTTTTACTATACTTTCCATTTATAGAATGTATGTGTGGTTCTATTCCACTATTTCAGTGAGTTTCTTTGTCTTTTAATATATTTTGTCAACCTTTTCCTGTATTTTCCAGAATTGAATATTCATATTATTTTAAAGTTCTTATCTCTCCTTCCAGTATCTGAAGCATCTTTGGATCTACTTCTATTGTCTGGCATTTAGTTTGTATATTGATTGGTCACATGATCCTGTCTTCTTGCATGTCTATTAATTTTTCATTGAATAACAGAAATTACATATGAAAGCATCAAAGAGGCTTCCTGAGAGGTTTACATTTTCTTCAGCCAGGAAATTAGACTTGGGAATGTATTTATTTAAATTTTAAATAGGGACTGGGCTGAGACTAGGCAGCAGCTTTCATAAGGTTCAGTGTACTTCTGGTTTGCCTTTGTTTCTGATACTTCCCATTTATATGTGTCTTTATATTTAAGTGTATTTCTTGTAGATAGCATATGGTTAAGTCCTTTTTTCTACCCAAACTAAAAATGTCTGCCTTTTAGTTGGAGTATCCAGTGTACTTACATTTAATGTAAGTTTTGGTATAGTCAGGTTCAAGTCTACCATCTTGCTATTTTTTTCATTCATCCCTTCTTTTTTGTTTCTTTTCTATTTTCTTTTAGATGAATAAAATATTTTTTGATTTCTTATTTATTTTCTCTATTGGATTCTTAGCTCTATATCTTTTTTATTCTATAGTAATTAGGGCTATAAATAAGCAACTTCAATTATTGAAGTAGAGTCAAATATGTCTATTTTACAACATCTAAATTTTTCCACTTCTTACTGTCTACTTCTCTCTTCTCATTTCATACCTGATACCTCATACTTTTCACTTCCCACTTCTTACTTCCATCTTCAAAATGTAATAACATTATAACAGTATCATGCCATTTACTAACTCTAACTTCCATGCTATTGCTGTCAAAAATTTTACCTCTAATAAAAAATACATTATAAACCCCACTTTTTATTGTTATTATTTTTATGTTAGTCAGTTGAGCTTTAAGAAAATTACAATAAGAAAGAAGATAGTCTTTTATATTTCTATACTTATTTATAAATACCAATGGTTGCCCTGCCTATAAGTAGGAGTGTTTTTCTGATATCATTTTCCTCCAACCCAAAAACATTCTTTAGCATTTATTATAATGCAGGTAATAAACTGCTGAAGATAAACTTTCTAGCATTTGTTTATCTGATAATGTCATTATTTTTACCTTTTTAAAGAACAATGTTTTCACTAGGCATAGAATTGCCATGGGATAGAAGATTGCCACTTTTAATTTCAGCACTTTAACGATATTGTTCCATTATCTTTTCATTTCTATTGTTTTGGATAAAAAGTTAGCTGTAATTCATATCATTGTTTCAATATGTAATATGCTTTCTTTTTCCTCTGTTTTTTTTGAGATTTTCTCTTTATCTCTGGTTTAAAGAAATTTGACTATTCTGTACCTAGGTGTAATTTTCTTTGTATTTATAATGCTTAGAAATAACTAACATACTTTAATCTATAATTTAATCTTTTTCATCAAATTTAGGAAATTGTCAGCTATTATTTCTTCAAATATGTATTATGCTCTATCTTCACTCTTTTATTCTCTTGAAATTCCAATTACATTTACATTGAACAGCTTGATATTGTTGCACAAGTCACTGGGACTTTCTTCATTTCTTTTCAATCGTATGGCCCTCTCTTCTTCAGATCTATTTCAAAATAATTGTTTCTTCTATTTTCTCCAATTTATTGCTAAATTCAACTGAATTTTTTATTTCAGTTATTTTACTTTTTGATTCTATAGTTTCTAATTCCACTTTTCTGCTGAAGTTTCCTCCTTATTCACTAAATCGATAATAATTTCTTTTAACTCTTTAAACTTACTTAAATAGTTGCTCTAACATTTTTTTGT